TCTGCCTACAATGCAGGAGACCTGGGTTTGATCCCTGGGTTGGGAAGACCCCCTGGAGAAGGGAATGGCTACCCACTCCAGTATTCTGGCCTGGAAAATTCCATGGACTGTATAATTCATGAGGTTGCAAAGAATCGGACATGACTGAGCAGTTTTCACTTTCACTTAAAAGTATAAAATCCCCTGCTACAGTGAGTAGCAAATGAACATTTTCAAAAATTTATTTCACAGAAGTGTAGTTTATTTACAGTTTTGTGTTAATTTCTAATGTATAGCAGTGATTCAGTTATACATATATATGTGTGTATATATATATACACACAGACACATTCTTTTTCATTATGGTTTATCACAGGATATTGAATATAGTTTCCTGTGCTATACAGTAGGACCTTGTTTTGTTGTTGGTTTTGGTTTTTTCTGGCCAGACCACTCAGCACATGGGATCTTAGTTCCCCAGCCAGGGATTGAACACATGTCCCCTGCAGTAGAAGCATGGAATCTTAACCATTAGACTGCTAAGGAAGTCCCAGGACTTTGTTGTTTATCCATTCTATATATAATATTTTGCATCTGCTAATCTCCAAACCCCAATCCATCCCTCCCTTACATCACCTTGACAACTACAGATCTATTCTCTATGTCTGTGAAGCTGTTTTATAGATAAGTTCATTTGTGTCATATTTTAGATTCCAGATGTAAATGATAATGGTATTTGTCTTTCTCCTGACTTATTTTACGTAGTATGATAATCTCTGGATCCATCCATGTTGCTGTAAATGGCATCATTTCATTCTTTTTTATGGCTGAGTATTATGCCAGTGTGTGTGTGTGTCACATCATTTTTTTTTAGTATAGGTTATTTTAATTTTGGGCTTCTCTTGTAGCTTACTTGGTAAAGAGTCTGCCTGCAACACAGGAGACTTGGGTTTGATCCCTGGGTCAGGAAGATCACCTGGAGAAGGAAATGGCAAACCACTCCAGTATTATTGGCTGGAGAATCCCATTGACAGAGGAGCCTGACAGGCTACAGTCCATGGGGTCGCAGAGTCGGACACAACTGAGCGACTTTCACTCGATTTTAATTTTAATTGAAGTCTAGTTGATTAGTTTCTGTACCACATCTTCTTTGTCCATTCACCTGTTAATGGACATTTAAGTTTTTTCCGTTTCTTGACTATTGTAAATAGTGCTGCAGTGAACATTGAGGTGCATGTATCTTTTTAAATTTCTCTAGATATATACTCATGAGTGGGATTGCAGAATCATATAGCAACTCTATTTTTAGTTTCTTGGGGAACCTCTATACTGTTTTCCATAGTGACTGTGCCAATTTACATTCTCACCAATAGTGTAGAGGACTCTCCACACTCTCTCCAGCATTTGTAGACCTTTTTTGGTCTGATCTTCAGATATATTATTTGTGGACTTCTTAATGATGGCCGTTCTGACCAGTGTGAGGTAATACCTCATTGTAGTTTTGATTTGCATTGCTCTAATAACTAGTGATGTTGAGTATCTTTTCATGCACCTGTTGGTCATCTGTATATGTTCTTTGGAGAAATGTCTGTTTAGACCTTTTGCCCATTTTCCAGTTGGGTTGTTTTTTCGTTGTTGAGATACATGAGCTGTTTGTATGTTTTGGAAATTAAACCTTTGTTGGTCACATTAGCAAATGGATATTCTTGGTCTCTGGATGTGATTGTAAATTCACCCAACCTTTCTGTATGTATTTAATATTTAGCAGTTTGTATCAAAACACTTTTCAGTAAGTTATTCACTGTTTGACAGATCTGTTCTAGTCCTGGGAACTTGTCATAAGCAGCTATTCACACTGGTGCCAGGGAAAGATGATCCATTGCAGTTGTTTATGTTGCTCCCAATGTCATACTTTAGGGGACGTGTTTAAATAAGATGTGGTATGGTATAGCCACTAGATGGAATGCTAAGCAGCCTCTAAGGTGTTGATGGAGGTTGCCATCTCTTGAGGTCAGACTGTTAACTGGGACTGCAGGCTAGTTGGGAAGCAGCATGTAAAATAGGATTGATTCCTCTTTGAGCCAGTTGATGACCTGTTTGTGCTCCAAGAGCAAGGATGACATCAGAGAGTCCTGTTTCCCTTTCTAATCCCAGTGCCTGGGACCCAATAACATGCTCTAAAAGCCCTGGGATTCAGTAGACCAGAGTGCTGCATGCTTGTCATCCAACGAGAGATGATGAGCAGTCTTCAAGATTTTGTGTCTTTCTTTTTGCTTACTGCCCATTTATAGTTTTTCTACATTTTAGTAGGTATTGCTTGCATAATATAGGCAAAGTTAAAACAAAGGTAGACAAATAAGCAAAATGTCACATGAGATGGAAATCCTGGTATGGTGGACAGAACTGTGGCCTGAGCATCAAGGCTCAGATCCTGCTTCTTCTATGCTGGGCCAAGTCTTGTGAACTCTGACACAGCATCTAGTGCTGAGCCTTTGCTCTTGCCTCTCTGCAATGGGGCTGCCTGCCCTACCTGTCCCACAGGTGTGTTTGAGGGGTAAAATTAAAAGAGAAGAATAGTGTTCATCTGCCCAGTTCACTTACTCAATTTCAGTTGCCAGATTTGAACCTGAAATCTGGGTGTCCTTCCTTGGACTCTGTTAAGTGCCCCCTTCCCTTTTTAAACGTGCTTTGAAAAGTGAACACCGTAACTGTCAGGTGAGATGTCACCTGCACTAATGATAACAGTAAAAACAGATACCAGGCTTTTTGGATCTTAGTATATAATTGGGAGTAAATCAGTAACATTTTTTAAGACGTGAAAAATTTATGTTGATCTAAGTTTAAAATATATCTCTTTTAGTATCCTTCATTGTCATACTGGTTTTTGCTAAACATCACCATTCATGGGGGAGTTGGAATAACTTGGGCACCATGTATGTTTTCATCCTTGAACTGATAAACTGATCTGATGACTTCGTGGGGGCAGCAGGTCAGTGAAGTCCCTGCATAGGTGAGGAAATGGTAGAGTGGCAGCCAGCTGCAATCCATACCTCATTTGGAGTGTGACTGTGAAGCGGCACTTGACTGGCTGTCAATGGAACTGATAATTCCATTGCAGCAATTAGAACTGTTCCCAGGAACAGTTAAGCTTAACTTTGAGAATCCTCTCTTCCTGTCAACTCTACCTTAGGTTATAAGAGAAAGAATGAGTCCCTACAGGTGATGAGACATATTATGGTATACCTTCATTGTTTAAATATGGGAAGCTATCCCACACCTGCCACACATGGGGCAGCAGACACATGAGGATGTGTTGGGTTCTGCTCTAGGAACCACCTGCTTCCTGTAGCAATCAGCATAGCAGGATCAAGAGTGCAGGACTTATTATAGAGAAACTTCTGAGTCAGCCTAGACATCCCTGCCCTCACGATGTGGCAGCATAGTTCAGAGCCCAGGCTGTAGAGCTAGACATGATCTTGGACTGCTGGCTTTGTCTCTTTTTTGTAAAGTGAATGATTATAGAAGCTACTGTGGAAGGGTAGGCTAATGGGTGGGAATGCATAACATCTTGAGACAGAAATCTCTCAGGAATATTATTTATATATGAATATATTGTATGGGGCTTCCCAGGTAACTCAGCTGGTAAAGAATCCACCTGCAATGCAGGAGACCCCAGTTCAATTCCTGGGTCGGGAAATTCCCCTGGAGAAGGGATAGCTAGCTACCCACTCCAGTATTCTTGGGCTTCCCTGGTGGTTCAGATGGTAAAGAATCCGCCTGCATTGCAGGAGACATGGGTTTGATCCCTGGATTGGGAAGATCCCCTGGAGGAGGGCATGGCAACCCACTCCAGTATTTGTGCCTGGAGAATCCTTGTGGAGGGAGGAACAGGAACATGGCAGGCTACAGTCCATGGAGTCGCAGAGTCAGACACAACTGAGCGACTAAGCACACATGCACATATATTTGTGTATATATATAATTTTTAAGTGTATTTTTGGCTGTGGTGGGTCTTTGTTGCTGCTTGGGCTTTTCTCTAGTTGTTGCGAGCAGGGGCTACTCTAGTTGCAATGCACAGGCTTTTTTTTTTTTTAATAGAAACGTAGTACTCTTTATTTTTGTTTCCTGTTTTTTTCTTTTTTTTATTTATTTTTATTAGCCGGAGGCTAATTACTTTACAATATTGTAGTTGTTTGTGCCATACTTTGACATGAATTCAGCCATTAAAAAGAATTAATTTGAATCAGTTCTAATGAGATGGATGAAACAGATGGTTTCTCTTGTCGCAGAGCACAGGCTTCAGTAGTTGAGGCTCCTAGGCTCTAGGCACATGGGTTTAGTTGCTCTGTTGCATGTGGGATCTTCCTGGATCGGGGATCAAACCCATGTCTTCCCTCATTGGCAGGCAGAGTCTTTACCACTGAGCCACACTAGGGAAGCCCAGGAATATTATTATTAATATTGAATGCTATTGTATATAGCTTTCTTAATTATTTAAGTTTAGTTTTTGCTTTTTAAAGTAATTTATGTTCCTTCCAAGTAAATCAGAACATACAGAAAAATGGGGAATAAGCCAATCCTTGTGAGCATTTGGATCCAGCCCTTCTTATCTGTTTGCATTCATGCATATGTGTACACATGCACTCTTGTGTGGTAATTGCTTGTTTTTTAGTTAATTCGTAGTTGTAATTTTATTATGCAGTATGTTGTATCTGGCATCTTGTCCTTTTCCTCACATAGCATGAACTTTTCCTATAAGTATATACATTCTTTGGTTTTTCTTCACCTATTAAGGAATATTTAGCTGAAGCATTTACATGACAATCTCATTACCATATCTGGAAATGTTAAGATCTAAAAATGGCATTTCCAAAAGACATTTCCCAAATAATAGAGGAATAGCAACTTTCTAGAGAAATGAATTGAACACATGTGGTCAATTTTGTCTTTGAAATTTTGAGTATTATTTTTAACATAGATGTAATAGCCTTTAACTTAGTTCATTTTCTTTCTCTCCTCAGGACTATTTTCCTAGTATTACTGTTTTCTCAATATGCCAGAAATGTTAAATTTCCTCTCCCAATTTACAAATCCAAGAAAGGATGGACTGCATATAAGTTACAGCTTTTCAAAATGTTCCCTGTGAGTAATTACCTTTGTTTTTTTGAGACAGCCTTGCATTTGGTTCATATATAAAATGTTTATAATGAGAAGAGGGGTTTAAGCAGGTTGTCCTGAGGGACCATGTCTGTGTGAAGATATCAGAGTTCTAATGACCACCCAAATCATCATGGACATAAGTTTTAGAAGTGGTTGAAGTTTCCAGTCCTGGAGTCCTTTTCAGTTCAGTCGCTCAGTTGTGTCTGACCATTTGCAACCCCATGGACTGCAGCACACCAGGCTTCCCTGTCCATCACCAACTTCCAGAGCTTGCTCAAACTCATGTCCATCAAGTCAGTGATGGCATCCAAAAGTCCATGGAGTCTTTTTAACAGTACGTAAGAGGACATTGATTCTCCTTAGAACTGAGGGAGATCAGACTCCACGGCCTTTTCAGGCCCATCGTCCATTATTCTTATTTTACTAGCCAGTTTCAAACTAAATAACTTTACTGTATGAAACTACTCTCTCTAAATGTGATTCCATTCAAGGAATAGGTTTTATGCAGATCCTTTATGTGTTTTTTTTCTGCAAAGTACTGATGGGCTCTGAGATATAATAATCCCACTGCAGGAAGGCATGTTTTGCTAGCAACCACCACTTCTGTTGGCCTGACAGAGCTTTTTCCTTTGACCACTTCAGATCATCCTGGCCATCCTTGTGTCCTGGCTACTCTGCTTCATCTTCACAGTGACAGATGTCTTCCCTCCTGACAGCACGAAGTATGGCTTCTATGCTCGAACTGATGCCAGGCAGGGTGTGCTTCTGGTAGCCCCGTGGTTTAAGGTCCCATACCCATGTAAGTATTCTGGTGGCCAGGAGTGGTCAGAAGCCCACAAGGGTCCAACCTAGAGGAGTTGGGAATTGGCAGGAAGCTCTGCAACACCAAAGGCCTTCTTTGTTGCAGAGCATGCCCTGAAAGTCATACCATTCTGGACTTCAGAGGAGTAGATAGCAGAGAAGGGAGGCAGGAGGCTCTGTCTCCAGAGGATTGTAGAGACTAACCAGCTCTCTTCTCAGTTGTACCAGTTGATTCTTTTGGTTCCCTTAGAACAAAATCCCTGGCCCAAGGAGCCTCTGGCCAGATTTGAGCTCTAAAGGCCAGGATTTGAGGTCAGCTGCTTAGAAAGGCAAGTATAGAGCTGCACAGTAACCAAACCACCGAAATGAACAGACTTGAGTAGGAGGGGGCTGAAGATTAGTAGACTGCTCAAACCTGGTGGAATTTGTGTAATCTTTCAATAGGTAGCTATAATCATTTTTTTTTTTAATTTGGTCACACCTGTCAGGTAAACTAATATTCACAAACAGATAATGGATCTTAAGTTATAATTTCATTGTTGGGTAACTCTTGGCCAGGTGGCAGGGGTGTATGATCCCCAGCTGTGAGGTATCACTTGGATTCATGTGTAGCGTTTTCTGGACCCCAGCCCCAGAAGTGTTTTGTGTGAACCCAGTGATTATTACATGCTTGTTATAATGTGAAGACTCCGTTCCCAGTATTTAAGGTTTTTATTAGAATAAATCCTGAACTTAGTCAGACTGTGCCAGTTTACACCCCTATCCAGTAGTCATATTTTCATATTTTCTGACAGTGAGGAAAAGCCAAAACTATAAAGATTGGGTCAAAGATAAATGTTCTAAGCATGTTAAATGATAGTGATTCTGGCAGTTCTTCCTCCTGGTCTTAACACATTTACAAACACTGTAAAAAGTTTAGTCTTTCTAAAGCATTTTGAATCTCATCAAATTATATGGTATAAGTATGTATTTATGTATACCTGTCCCCTCCATACAAGGTTCATAAATATACATGTAATCTGAGATAAAATGAAATTAAAAGTCAGTTGATGAGGGAGTCAGGAGAAGGCACGGGAGAGCAGGTAGGAGGAAGCCCCCACAGCACATATGGGTGGTCCTCTGTACCTATACATGTGGCCCCCAAGATGAGCACAAACACTAATAGAAACACAGAGTGGGCTGTCCCAGAGAAGCAGCAGTGTGTGTGTTGAGAGATGAGAGACTTCGCTCAGGGACCATGGGGCCTGTGCACAGGGACGCATCACTGAGTGGACAGGTCCTTAACATCATGATTGCAGAGGGTGCTGTGTTCTGGTTTCTGTTCACAACAACCCTTGAGTGCTACCAGCTCCTCTATGGCCAGAGCGTCCCTAAATAAAGAGCTGCTCCCTGAGCCAGAAGGGCATAGTCTTCCGTGCTTTCTAATCCAGAGATGAGTTTTCATGTATCTTAATCCAGAGACAAGCTTTTATAAATCTAGACCAGTGGTTCTTAGTCTTTAGTATGCTACAAATTACTTGGACTAGCATTTCGTGTCCAAAATGTCAAAAGTGCCAGGCTGAGAAACCCTGCTATCAAGTAACAAACTAAAAGTTCTAGATAAAAAGAAAGATGAAATAATAGGCTTAAATAGAAGGCTGGAAGCCAACAGGTTTAAATTTTAAATAAATAATCTGAAGGAGAAGGGGTCAAAAATTAAGATTATAAATTTTAAATGGGGTAAAAAATAAATGGGATAAACATTTTAAAAATCTTGCTGAGGATTTCAGGAAAAGTGTGGGGGATAAGAAAGCAGTTAAAGTAAAAAGACTGAGAAAAGGCAATTTCTGAAAAATAATAAATGGCAAAATAAGACTCCCACCCCAAAATATAGATAAATGAAACCATATCACTGCCTCAATAAAGATAACTGTATCAAAGGTTATTTAGAAAACACAAAATGCTGCTTGATAAAGAAATCATCTGCATGAGAAGAATCCATTCCAAACCAATCCAGGGACAAGATGTTGACCAAGCCAATTGCTGATGGGTCTGCACCTTGAACCCCTGAATACAGACTGCCTCAACATCCCCTGGCCAGCTCCCATGGGGTAAAGTGAGCTCCGGGAAGGAAAAGTTCTGTCCATACACACACCCAAGGGATATTCTGTACATTTTACTTTATGTGTTATCTTTCTCCTCCCAAACTTGGGGTTGCTCACATGACCCAGGAGACAGAGGCCAAGCCTCTCCAGGGGGTTGGTCAAGGCCTTCCAAACCTCCCTGCCCCAGGCCTCCTCTGGTGAGCAATAGCCTATTTCTTCCCAGCTCTGTCCATCCACTGATTGCCCATCCAGAACGCCTTCTCCACTCTGTTTCCTGCTTTCCAGACTTCTTGAACAGGTACTATGGCACTTCCTGACTTCCTAACTGGTACTGATCATGATCTGGTTTGGATCACATTCATTTGACATCCATTGCACTGTTCAAAATCTTTTAGTGTCCTGATCCCTCAGTATATTGTTGGCCCCTGCCCAAGACATTTTATACATTTCTCTTCATGTACTTTCTACTTAGTAGCTCTGTAATAACTAATGGTTCAGGGAAAGAAAGTCAAGGTACTTTACAAAGAAGTCTATTCATTTTAACAGTGAAGGTTCCTCATGCTGTTTTTATTAAATAAGATCAGTGGTTTTCAATGTCCAAATAGATATACTTTTAAGTCTGGATACTCAAAATCAATCTACCTTGGGTCTTTGCTTTGCTTTCTTAAAGGAAACTCTTTAATTTTCTGTTACATGGTGTACTTAAAAAAAAAAATAAGTGCTGGTATTATACTGGAAAAGGGTTGTCTACACTTTGTGCCATGCTCTACTGTTGGAATTTAAATTTATGTGCTGACTTTTCACTGCTTTTTCATTCGATGCCTCCGTCTGGACAAGAGCACTGTTTTGTACCATGCTTTGCACAGCAGGGCTAAACATTCTCTGCATACAAATACCCATCCCAACATAGAAGGCTGTGTTAAATTCTAATTTAGCAGACACTGAGTGTAGCTTTGAAGCAAGAAAGAGGAGCACCCACCTCTTCCAGTCAAACAATTTCTTCTTTTAAATAAAGCAGACCAATCCTGACTATGACTGTTTTCATTCAACTCAGGAACTATTCCCAGGCATCTTGCACTGATGATTTATGTGTAAAAATAGTTACCATGAGCTTTAAAAATCTGAGTGTTTCTTGTAGAGTTCTCTGACATACTGAATGACTCAATATCCTGATAACTTTTGGCTTCCCCTCTAAGAAAGTTTATGAGGCTTTCATGCTTGTTTTCTTCCTTAGTTCAGTGGGGACTGCCCACCGTCTCTGCAGCTGGTGTCATCGGAATGCTCAGTGCGGTCGTTGCCAGTATTATCGAGTCTATCGGGGACTACTATGCCTGTGCAAGGTTGTCCTGTGCCCCATCACCTCCCATTCATGCAATAAACAGGTGGGTTCCTGAGAAAATGAACTCTTCACTGGGCCCAGTGCCTCACTTTGCTCTTTGGTTTGGACAGTCAAGAGTTTCAACATGAAGTAGCCAAGCATCAGGGCTCTTTATTGGCTGTTTGTTTCAAATAAGTAACTGCCTCTGTTTTGCTCTCATTTTCCACATCCAAATAATAGAGAGCAGAATTCCCACCCTTCTTTCTCATGGTGACAATCGTATAAGACATTCTCTGTGAGATCTCTCCAGACCTTAAACTCACCAAAACAAGTGCCAGACACTGCCATTGTTCTTTGCTTGGTTTGGGGTCATGGATGTATTGTCCCCTTTGATTTCTTGTTTTCCCTACTGTTCATTTCACAGTTAGGATTCATATAGAGAGAGAGAAGAGCAGGAATAAATGAAGTCTGTAAAATCTAGAGGTTTATGAGCTGTGAAGTTTATATTCTCAGTAGATATAGTCTTTAGTTTCTCAATGCTGGAGTTAAATAGGGCCCTATAGAAGCTGTAAGGAAAATAAGTAGCCCAGATCATCCCACCTTTCCCAGCCAGCTGCCACCCTTCCAGAAGGAATTGTGTGTGATGAGGACGAAACGGCTGATATCTCTGCATCCTTTGCATTGCTTCTGTTGGTGCTTAGAGCCCTAGTTTTTCCATTTTTCTCTAATGAAGCTACTGCATATGAGTAAATTATTTATATATTGGTTCTTTTGAAAGTTCCAACATTTATAAAATTATAAAGCATTTTCTTTCTGATAAAACTGTATTAATAGGAAAGGAATCAAATCTATGGATGACCTTTGTTGTCTTAGATTACCATAAATGATTATTTTCTGGCAAAAATATTGTAATTTGGAATAATTTTTAAACACATGTCTCTAATGTATGATTCAGAGATGTGCTTCTAAAGGTTGAATGAGCATGGAGAACCCTGTTAAAATGCACATCTTCAGATCTGGGGTGTAGCCTGAGATTCTACATTGCTAACCCCTCCTGGGGAGAGTAGAGGCTACAGGTGTGGACCCTGCCTTTGGGTCACAACCATTTAGACTGTTTCAAAGTATTTCTCCCATTGAATTAATGTTTTTCTTTACTCTATTCCTTTACATTTTAGGGGGATTTTCGTGGAGGGTCTCTCCTGTGTTCTCGATGGCATTTTTGGTACTGGGAATGGCTCTACTTCGTCCAGTCCCAACATTGGAGTTTTGGGAATTACTAAGGTATAGATATATTTATAATTAAATGGTTCGGCCTCTAAATGTTGATCCATTTTGTTGATTGGTCTGGCCACTGTGAGTTCCGAAAGGATGGCCTCCAATTCTGAGATTGTCTTCTTCCCCATCTCTTTTTGATTCATTGATGGGTTTTTGGAATGCCTACAGAGGTCTCTTTCCCCTTGACTGGCCTGGGTAGGCAGGCATTCAGGTGCTATTCCTTCATGCATTCTACGAATTTTTATTAAGCATTGACCCTTTGCCATGCCACTGTTCTAGGCACTTGGGATACATCAGTGAATGAAAAAGAAAAATATTTCCATCGTTTATGGAGTTTATCAGAGGAAGACAAGCAATAAATAGTAAGCCTAATAAGTATGACAGAAATATGGGGCAAAATGGGGGGATCAGAAGGGTAAGTTAGGGTGGTCAGGCTGAGCCTCATTGAGAAGGTGACTTTGAGCAAAGACCTGACGGAGCTGAGGGAGGGAACCGGGCAGGTACCTAGGGAAGGGGCATTCAGGCAGGGGGCACTGCCAGTGCAGAGTGCTATCACAGAACCACCCTGGCATGCTGCAGATCAGCAAGGAGGCCAGTGGGACAGGAGCAGAGATGGGAGTGGGGGTGGTTGGGTAAGAGCAGATGAGGTTCTTGAGGTAACTGAGGACCACGTCATGCAGGCCTTAAAGGCTGCCAGAGGCTAAGTGGAAGTGGTCAGGGGGAGGGTCCTGCAGGGTGTGGGTCCATCTGGTTTTTTTTTTTTTTAAGAATTACTATGACTGCTATGATGAAAGTAGATAGCTGGCATCTGGGAAGAGGGTGGAAACAGGAGACCAGTTAGGAGATGGCACTAATTCTAGATTAGAGATTGCACTCTGTCTGTGTGCTTAGTTGCTCAGTCATGTCTGACTCTGCGACCCCGTAGATCGCAGCCCACCAGTCTCCTCTGTCCATGGGAATACTCCAGGCAAAAATACTGGAGTGGGTTGCCATGCCCTCCTCCAGGGGATATTCCAAACCTAGGGATCGAACCCAGGCAGATTGCAGGCAGATTCTTTACTGTCTGAGCCACCAGGGAAGCCCAAGAATACTGGAGTGGGTAGCATATCCCTTCTCCAGGGGAACTTGCTGACCCAGGAATCGAACCAGGGTCTTCTGTATTGCAGGCAGATTCTTCACCAGCTGAGCTACCAGGGAAGCTCCAGAAATTACATTACTCATACAAATAAGTTAGTCTTACAGTAAAGAATTAATGCAGTTTCAAACTGTAGCAGCATCATTCTTCTCTTTCAGATGAAATCTGTTGTGGAGTTAGTGAACAAAACAAGCCATAGCAAGTCACTCAGGTTGAAGCAGTACCTGATCTGAAGTCCTTCCCACTTGTCTCTCCCCCCAACCCCACTCCAAGCATACATACCATAATCTAGCTTCAGGAACAAGGAGGCTGCTTCTCGGCCTTTCAGATTTACTAGGAAATAAATTTTATATCCCAGTTGCTTTAGGCCAGTGCTTGCTGTTTGCCCAGGGTGTTGAGGAATGCAGCTCAGCCCTGGCCATTGTATGCTGTGCAGCTAGACACGGTTAGAACTGGTTCACCATCATCCAGGGTGGACTGCACGAGTCAGAGGTCTCCCTCTCCTCAACCTTGTATCTTGAGAACTTGGGGGTGAGTTGGAGCATTCTAAAATCATTTGACCTCTTTAAAATTAGAAATCTTCCTCTAGCTCTTTGCACAATTCTATAACCAGGAAAAAGAAACCAGATACTTAGTTTGGTTAACTTTAACTGCAAATACAGGTGAGAGGGAGTAGAGCATACATTGTACAAGCCTGACTTGCTGGTTTGTTTTTCTGTAAGTTGGCCAGGCCATCCCAGAGCTCAACCTTGGGTGTGCCAATGACCACACCTGCTGCCTGTCTCTCCTTGCACGTGACATGTGCGGGCTGCCTGATGGGCATTCCCTTCCAGGATGCCTGGGTCCTATTGCTGCAGATACTGGGCATGCAGAGCTAAGGGAAGGGTCAGATGGGCACCAGATGAGGTGTAAGCCATTGACTCAGCCAGTTTGCTGCCGTGAACCTGTAGACCCACAACTAATCCAAAATAACATACTGGTAAAATTATTATAGATGGAGGGACTCTTGGGGAAACAGTTTAACAAGCCAGCTCTCTTTCTGCACCTCTTTAAAATACATCACAGATAATTTAACTAGAGTCACTGTAGGAAGTAAGTAGTGCTGTCATCAGGGTTCCTTCTAAAACATGACTGAGATGGTTTGAGGAATAATTACCTTTATTATAATTTAGATGGTGCTGGCTTATTCTGAAAAGGCACCCTGCCAGCATTTTTAAATTGAGCCAATTGATCTTCCTTCTGAGTTCCTTTGGAGCCACTTTGCCTAGCCTTATCGATTTGAGGGGCAATATCAACCCTGGAGTTAGCTCCATTACCCTGACTCACAAGGGGTTATAATTGAGCCATCTACACAGATACCTTGGGGTGGGGAAGTAGAACTAGCACCAGAAGCTTCTCTGTGGCCTAAACCATGTAGCTAATGGAAGATCCCTGCCCAGGAAAAAGGAAGCAGAAGTTTCAAGGCTGTCTCCTGCCTTTTATCCAGCTGAAAGGCTTGGAACAGTTGCTTTTCTGATAAGAACTCATATGTGAAATCTGGCAATTCTAGATCTAGATCTGTGTTGTCCAGTATGGTAGTCAATAGCCATATGTGGCTGGTGGATGCCAAAGGAAAGCACAGATACAGAACATTTCCATCATCATGTGAAATTCCTTCAGATGACGTTAATCTGGACCATTGTATCAGTCTTCCAGAACATTCAGAAAGAGGGTGATCTGTGGCTCTTTCTGAGGATCTGTTCCCATTTCCTGGCAGCTCTACTATTTGCTATTCTTTATCCAGTTATGGCATTCCATGTACAGACATGGACATGCTGACTACTTGATTAGAGGTGAGGCTGCCTACCTTGCTGTGTGTTCTGAAGTTCTGCGGGTTGGATGGGTTGGATTCCATGTGCAGTACTGCTACGTTGAGAGTGTTCACTGTCTGTCCCACAGAAGAGGGCAGCTTGACACGGTAGGGAGGTGGTTGCTTTAGATTCAGCCCTGGCTCCATCATATTCTCCTAACATGACCACAGGCAAGTTACATCACCTCTCTGAATTTCTGTGCCCTTGTCTAATAACAATAGCTTGCAAAATTTTGAAATTACTTCATGTAAAACATTTAGCACATGGTTAGATAAGCAAACTAGAGATATTGTTATATAATATGTAGACGTAAGTTTATTTCTAGGAAGAGTAAACACCATCTTCTCGGCCATACTATCTTTTTTGATGGTATCCAGGAGATCATTTCTCCCCTGCAGCATACCATCCTAATGAACACTTTTGGAAAGTCAGAAATGCAGTGTCAGTTTTTCAGTGGCCCTGGAGGCAGAGCTGCAGTTCAAGAAGGAGATCAGAAGGGAGCCTAGGAAGCGATTCCAGCAAGTGTGCGGTGAGAAAGATGTGAAGGCTTCACATAAGCACCAGGAGGGCAAGGATTTTAGGGCTGTGTCTCTGGTGTTTAGAGCAGAAATGTATAGTAGGCACTCAGTTAATGTTTGTTGAACAAAAGAGTGACTAACTTGCTGCTTTTTTTTGGATAGCGTCTAAGGGAGATCAGCCCTCCATGCATGGTTTTCATACAAGATTTATTGTTTCAGGCATCCTTGGGGCCAGCCCAATCCTCCCCACTGCACATCTAACAGGGCTGACTCTCCTGGGAGATGGATCCCTCTGTCTGGTTGCTCTTTGTCTTACTCAGGCCTCAAGACCATCTCTAGGGAATCCTCCCCAACTTTTCAGAGTTTTTTCTTCCCACTGGACTCCCGCATAGCCTAATAATTGCAGCAGTACCATTATTTGACCATAAGCTTATGACTTACTTATATTTGTATCCATCACCTCCCCCTCCAAAGTGCTGGTCCTTGAAAATGTTTGTTGAAAATGCTTGCTTTTTGTAAATGAAAGGCTTCCTTATCATGTAATACAGCCAAGCATAAGTCATTTTTGCTCCATTTCCTATTTGCATGACCCTTTTTACTGCATCCCTGCACTTAGTGGTGGTACAATGGGATGAGCTGTAAATTGGAATAATGGAAGCTAGGCTCCAGCATCAGTTGTGACTGATTCTAGCTGTGTAGCTTAGTAAAAGATTTGCTTCTTTCTCTGAACTTGACCCTTGGGCTCATTGAGAGGCTCTTGGAAGGTCTAGCCCAGCATCATCCAGGAGAATGGTGCAGTAGTAGAAATGTTCTGTACTTGCACTATCCCCTGAGGGAGCCCCCAGCCACTCATTCCTACTGAACACTTGAAATGTAGCTAGTACAACTGAGTCCGTTTTTACATTTCATTTCATTTTAATTATTTAAATAGCCATTTCCTATTCATTGTAACTCACACATAAACCATTGTGGACACTGTTCCATTTCTGGAAGCTCTTTTATTCAGTTTATGTCCTCAGGATGTTCTCTTGGGAGAGGCAGTACAGAGTAGAGACTAATAGTACAGGATTCTTGAGCCCAGTGCCAGCTCCGTCTCTTGCTACCTGGGTGACCATGGACTAGATGGAAGCTTCTAGAAGGCAGAGATCAAACTCAACCAATAAAGTTGGGACCACATCAGAAATGCTGTGTGTGATACTGTAGAAGTCCAATGTTGGGAGAGTCGAGCCTTGGAATGAAAGAAGGCTTTGCAGAGAAGGTAGCTTTAGGGTAGTATCAGTACTTTGATGTGTGTCTAAGAAGTGGCCAGGAGGGGGATGAGCACCAGAAGACTTAGTCAGGGACCTGACCTCCGAAATCATGATGTTAAAGAGGTTACTCCATTACAGTGGAGCGGACAGGTGGGCAGAAGAAAGGCCAGAGGAAGCAAGCTCACATGGGAGGCTATCAAATAACCTAATGCTTGCCAGGTGTTGTTCAGACTATTTTACATGCAGCTTATTTAATCTTCAAAGCAGAAGCACACTGTTCATTGTTACAGAGATGAGGATCCTGCCACTCAGAGAGGCTAATGCCCATCATATGGTTAGAGATGGAGCAGAGGTAGGAGTCAGGCAGCTGGGCTCTAGAATCCTGAACACGGTGGTCTCTAGGCTGTGCCACCTCTCATGATTAATATGCCAGGAGGAGAAGTTCCAGAACTGTTTTGTCTGATCTGCCAGAACCCAGAAGAAAAGCAGGGGCCAAGTGTACTTTTTGCATTTTGGATTTGAGACACTACAAGATCACCCTGGCTGGTGGCTGTGGGCATTAAGAAACCCAAGACCACAGCTCAGGAGTGAGTGCAGAGTGAGGTGACATTGCCCAGGGCTCAAAGACCATAGGTCAAGCCCTGGGGTCCCCATAGTCAAATGAAGCAGAGGAGTCACCTTCCAGCAGGAACCAGATGGGATGGGAACAAGGAAAGGTGGTGAGAATCTTTTTACCCTGGATGTGTTTTTAGCAGTTATGTGTTGATATCAATCCTCATGTAAAGTTAGACTAAAGACTCTGTAAAGTTAGACCCTCTTAACTCAAAGTTTTAAGAGTAATCTAGATTTTGTGTATGGGTTTTGATCACATTTGCCTGCTGGGACCTGAGTAGTTGTGTTTGCTCTTGGAGGCCCTCACAGTGAATGCCTGTCTCTGCCCTCTGTGTGTCCTGCAGGTCGGCAGTCGTCGGGTGATACAGTACGGCGCAGCCCTCATGCTGGCGCTGGGCATGATCGGAAAGTTCAGCGCCCTCTTCGCCTCCCTTCCAGATCCCGTACTTGGCGCCCTCTTCTGTACTCTCTTTGGTAAAATTCCATTTCCTTGATAGTTGGCTTTCTCCTCAAGCTCCTTTTCTTTCTTCACTTTGGTAAGGAATTCCTTCAGTGAGACTGAAGGTAATGATAAATTTTTATTTTAAAATACAAAAGGATGTACCTTATAAACATATAAATGCATATCACTTTCTGAGTTGAATTGATATTAAAGGTAGAATAACTGAGCTAGGAAAAATCAGATTAAATTTTAGTTTCTAGTTGCCATTTTTTTAAGGTTCTTATCATGCTTTATTGAAACCATGCTGCCTTCAATATCCTCTGCAGATATCTTTGGATATCACATTTTTTAATGTGGTATAGAAGCTGTTTCTTTTCTTGTATCTGAATTATTCTATTATAGATTTAATTGCAGATAAGACCTTCAGGAGCAATGTTCTTTTCTTTTCTCTTTCATTTGTCCATACCGTACAGCATGTGGGCTCTCCCATGCAAGTACTAACCAGGCCCGACCCTGCTTAGTTTCTGAGCTCAGATGAAATGGGACATGTTCAGGGTGATATGGCCATAGAAAAGCATGTGGGACCTTAGTTCCCAGTTCTCTGACCAGGAATCGAACCCACACCCCCTGCACTGTAAGCACAGTCTTAACCACTGGACCACCAAGGAATTCCCTAGTTGCCATTTCTAATTGATTTAAGCTCAGATATCTTTTCCCTGTGGGCCATTTAAAACTGTCGGTTTTTATAGAAGGGAGTCAATTTGATCTCTGTGCCATTCAGTGTAGTAATCAGGGACCTGATATTCAGGCCCGTATCCTAATGTAATTGAAATATTTGAATTGAGCTTTTAAGGGGAACCATTGTCTTTAGTTTTCTGCCTGGTCTAAAGAAAGTGTAATGTTTATGCCCCTGAATAAACCCAGATAGTGCCTGAGTTAGATGGTCACATTCTGGTTCCATCCTGACACTACACAGGTCTCCCAACTTGTTTCTGATGGGACAGAGAAAGGCCATTGTAGGGAGTCTGCCCTAGACAGCGTATTTGTCATCCATGCCATAGGTGAGATAATGGAACTTGTGGTGTGATGTTTTCTCTCTAGGAATGATCACAGCTGTTGGACTCTCTAACTTGCAGTTCATTGATTTAAATTCTTCCCGGAACCTCTTTGTGCTTGGATTTTCAATCTTCTTTGGACTCGTCCTTCCAAGTTACCTCAGACAGAACCCTCTCGTCACAGGTAGGAGAAACAGGCCATGGGTCTTGTGGCAAAATTGGAACCACAGCTACCAGTTCACGGAACTTCAGGAATCATTTCAATGAATGTTCACCTATGTATTTCATTGTAGTCCCACTTGGCCGAAGTTTAACTTGAATCCCTTTGCACTCCCGACTTGAGTTGGCACATGCATATAACTGATGTGCATGGCACAGTCTCCCTTCCTTCCTTTTCTCTTTCACCTTCTCCCTGCTTCCATCTGTTTTTTTTTTTTTTTTTTTTTTTTTAAAAAAAGCCAACAAACCAGGATCCTACCCTTTGGGAGAATGCCTCTGTAAAACCTTTTGATTTTTCAGACTAAGGCGATATTAAAATTTAAAATTTCTTGAAACTTAGCATACACTTTGCTATACATGTTTTTCTATTGGGATTACAAATATTTTGAGTTCAAGATCAACCATTTAAAAAAAATTTTATTGGAATATAGTTGCTTTACAGTGTTGCGTACATTTCTGTTGTACAGCAAAGTGAATCATTATACAAGTATACATGCCCCCTCTTTTGTGGATTTCCTTCCCATTTAGGTCACCACAGAGCACTGAGTAGAATTCTCTGTGCTCTGCGATAGGTGCTCATTAGTTACCTATTTTATATATAGTAGTTTGTGTATGTTTAATTCCTTTTTTAAAAAGTTCTTTGTGATATGGACTATTTTTAAAGTCCTTATTGAACTTGGTGACAGCATTACTTCTGTTTAATGTTTTGACTTTTTGGCCACAAGGCATGTTGGATCTTAGCTCCCTGACCAGGGTTTAAACCTGCAACCCCTGCATTGGAGGACAAAGTCTTAACCACTGGACCACCAGGGAAGTCCCCAATTCCTTTTTATGTTAATACCCATATGTTGTAAAAATGAACAAAGGAAGAACATCTTAAGAAACAAATTTCATTGCTGACATTTTATGCAGAATTGAGGATCATTTTATATATGTATGCAGGTATTTTTTTTTTTAGCTGATGTTCACATAACCTAAAATTAATCATGTTAAAGTGAACAGATCAGTGGTATTTTAGTACATTTACAATGTTGTATAATCACCACCTCTATCTTGTTTCCAAAACATTCTCATCAGCCCAAAATAAAATTTCATACCCATTAAATAGTTAACTCCCATCATTTCCCTTCCTCTCAGCTCCTGGCAACCACCAGTCTGCTTTCTGTTTCTCTGAATTTACCTATTCTGGATGTTCATAAATGGAATCCTACATTATGAACCTTTTATGTCTGGCTTTCATTTGTCAGAATGTTTTCAAGATTTATCCATATATAAGTATTTTATTTCTTTTTATGGCTAGATAATATTCCATTGTATGTGTATACCATAATCTGTTAATCCATTTTTCCACTGATGCACATTTGGGTTGTTTCTACTTTTTGACTAGTGTAAATAGTACTGTCATGGACATTAATGTGCAAGAACAGGCAGTTCTCACTCATGGTAGTTATGGTCTGTAAAATCCCCATGAATATGGACCTAGCAAATCCTGAACCATTGCTCTTGGGAGAACACAGTCAATAGCACTAGATCTCATGCCTGAAGGACATTCATCTCACGTATTTTCTCCATTAGACGCATCATAGCCATCTTACAATGGGGCTGTTTTAAATAGCGAGATCACCAATGAAGAAGCACAAAAATGCAAAAAAAAAAAGTGGTATTATGCAGGCTGCTAAAAGAATGTTGTTTACAGTCTGAAAGCTAAAACCAGAAGGCAGACCTTGTTTAACCTCAGCTGGGAACATGTGTTGGGTAACTCAAAATTTTCACTGCTTTGTACACGTCCGTGAAAGACTAAAAGCACCACAGTATTCTTTTTGGGTTTACAAATAAATTTCAGTGTGTAGGCAATTCACATGTAACAGAATCTGCCTGGTAATGAGGACTATTTGAGTACCTGTTGTTAATTCTTTTGGGTATATGCCTAGGAGTAGAATTGTTGGGCCATTCTGTTTAACTTTTTGAGGAATGCCTGTTTTCCATAGCAGGTGAGCTATGGAACATTGCTCACAACATTCCCCTCAGGCATGTTGGACACAGTGATTTCTCTTTCTCCACATTCTCACCAAACATGTTGTTTTTCTGTTGGAGATCATTATATTTTTAAATACAAAAAGTGTGTGAATTTCTATTTTAATGTATCTCATTCATATAATGACATCTTTAGAAATAAATTTGCTCTAAGTTAAAAGCAGCTAAGCACTAATTAGTAACCCAGAATTCTGAAGCCCTTCATTTGATTGCTGATCTCACAAATATTTTTGTCATCTTGTTATTCACTTTGTAAATTTTTCAACCTTACAGCAGCCATCTTTTATATTGTTTTTTTTTTAATCTGCAAGCAACACTTCCCCACACCCCTGAAGGCTTCATAGTTCATTATAGAGTGAACTTCACTCTATTAGATTTTGGGTAGGGGCTGTTCTGGGTCTTAGTTGTGGTACACAGGATCTTTCATTGAGCAGTGTGCAGGTTCTCTAGTTGCAGTACACAGGCTTAGTTGCTCGGAGGCATTTGGGGTCTTAGTTCCCTAACTAGGGACCGAACCCTCGTCCCCTGCATTGGAATTCTTAACCACTGGACCACCCAGGAAGTCCACTCTGTTAGATTTACTTTCTGTGAATCATTGTTAGAAATTTTTCTTATGGAGATAACTTGATTACTGTCGAAGGTAGTTTAAATAGTTTATTTACTATTATTGTCATAATAGTTTAAGGCATTACTGGCAAAAATTTATACATGCAAAATAGAAATTTACACTTTGATGCACTGCATTGACTGGCAATTACGGTCCACCCCAGTGTTCCTTTCTAAGTCAAGGACAAGTCTATTCTGACTGACTGTGACCTGTTGCTATGTTGTTTTTAGGGATAACAGGAATCGATCAAGTGTTGAATGTTCTTCTCACAACTGCTATGTTTGTAGGAGGCTGTGTGGCTTTTATTTTGGATAACACCATCCCAGGTATGTGGCATATATCAAACATGCTTATTACATGTGTGACTTACTTTTTTGCCAAATAAACATGGGAAGCAGGAAGCATGAGTCAGTTCAAAGCCATCAGTGATTAAACTTTTCTAAAGTGGTTGTTACCTTGAGCCACCTTTCATGAATCACTTTTTTGCTAGTAAACTTAGTTTTTTCCTTCTTGCTGAATTATTTCTAAGAGAAAACAGGTGAATTCCTTGTATATGGTGGTATGGCAGCAGGATGCCTTAAGCATGCTCCAGCTACCTGCCCTCCGGCTCAGCCTTGCCTGGAGCCCTGCAGTTTGGCTTTCATTGACTTGTTCACATACTTCTGAGCCGGCTGCTACCAGTGGACAGCACTCCTTCTCCTTCTATGACAAGTGACAGACTTAAGATGCGATGTGGGGCCTGCCTTGTGGCTTCCTAGAGAAGGTTACTTTGTATTGTAAAATGCTGTCGTGGACACACTGGTAGATTCATCGTTTGTCAGGGAAGGGTTATGTTTATTTTTGAGCTTAAAGGTTCTGTTGAGATTTTGCCCTTAATCTACCTCCAAAAGCCTCAATCAAAAAGAGGTTACTGGGGAAATGAGAGATGAACACATCAGGCAGAAGGAATCACACACATGAGTAGGTGGAAGGTGTTATATTTGTGGGAGATCAGTAATATCCTCTTTCTTTCCTAAGTCAGCACTTAATAGAGAGACAAAGGAGTCAGGCAGATAGGAATGGTCAGTTTCATTACTGAAGTGCCCATGGGAGGGCATAGCTTATATGTGTGAAAATAATGAGAAGTTCTTAAGTCCTGCACCATAGGATAGACCTCATCACCCAGGCTCAGGCAGAGAAATATATTGTTAGGGCTCCCATGGAGCTAAAAGCAGGTACCAGTGCTATCTGCACTGTAAAGACTTTTGAAAAGGAGTCCAGGAGTACTGAACCATGAAGATCCAGATCTGTCTCACTGATTGATCTGTCAGGGTACAGAATTGCCAGGAGTGTTTCACCAGTGGAAGTTCATCCTCATAGGACCACAAGTGGGGAATTTGTGACAAATGCACCCTGCCCCCCAGTAAAATGGAGCAAAGCAGTATAAAAAGTGGTATGTCTAGATAAAGAAAGCTGAGTGCCGAAGAATTAATGCTTTTGAACTGTGGTGTTGGAGAAGACTCTTGAGAGTCCCTTGGACAGCAAGGAGATCCAGCCAGTCCATCATAAAGGAAATCAGTCCTGAATGTTCTTTGGAAGGACTCATGCTGAAGCTGAAACTCCAATACTTTGGCCACCTGATGTGAAGAATTGACTCATTTGAAAAGACCCTGATGCTGGAACAGATTGAAGGCAGGAGGAGAAGGGGATGACAGAGGATGAGATGGTTGGATGGCATCACCGACTCAATGGACATGAGTTTGAGTCAACTCCAGGAGTTGGTGATGGACAGGGAGGCCTGGTGTGCCGCAGTCCGTGGGGTAGCAAAGAGTCGGACATAACTGAGCAACTGAACTGAACTGATGTCTAGATGAGGAGGGTAGTGGGTGTGCAGTGACCAAGTAGTGAGGTCATTGTGAGATGTAATAAGAATTCTGACCCTATTTTGCAAGATCATATCTGTGTTTTAGACATATTTGTTTTGCCAGGTTAGTGATTCTTAGATTTCTGGTTTGAGCATCAACTACTTCTTCAAGTGCTCTTTTCTGTCATCCTGTCCATTCAATCTTTGGGACAACAGAAGCAGAGAATCTCAATTCTTGGTAAAACTGTTTAACTAAACATTCCATTGTTCTGTTTTTGTTTTGCTGTTTGTGTTCCACAGGTACTCCAGAGGAAAGAGGAATCAGAAAATGGAAGAAGGGTGTGGGCAAAGGGAGCAAGTCTCTCGATGGCATGGAATCCTATGATTTGCCATTTGGCATGAACGTTATTAAAAAATACAGATGTTTCAGCTACTTACCCATCAGCCCAACCTTTGCAGGCTACACGTGGAAAGGCCTCGGGAAAAGCACTAGTAGCCGGAGTTCAGACGAAGACTCACAGGCCACAGTATAGCCGTAGCTCATCCTGTGGCCTGGCCACAGTGAGGCATGAACCTGTAGTTCCTTGCTGAGTAACAAGCAGTAACATATATGTTTGTAGATCTGCATTTATATTATCCACCCCAGAGCTAAGACAGATTACAGGTAGCTTTTTTCTTGTGGGTTGTGATCATGTCTAATAACGATGTCTCATCTATCTTTTTATTTAAGCCCTTGAGAACATCCGTTGATGGTCATGGTCACTGAGTTTGAAGTTCCTTCTCTCCTGCGGGAGTGGATGCTTGAAGTCTACAGTGACTCCTTGTTTTCAGTCCCCTTCTAACACCCTGTGCTAGCTTTCTTACAGGCCACCTCCAGGGTTCAGGGGCTTTCTGTCCTTGGAAGCACCAGGACCTGCACCTACAGAGACCTCCTCTGGTCAAGGGGTACCAATATCCTTGCACTGTCACAACTGACTGGTCAAGTGTGATTTTATGATCCCTGATACTGTGTGTAGGTGGCTACTGGCCAATTGAAAACAGTGACATGCTTTACACTCTGCCCAAATCTGTGCATGGGTAAAGTCTGTCCACAGATAGAATGGAAATTAGGGGACTGGACAAGAAGGGAAATTACCTTGAAATCAGTATCTGATTCTCAATTACACTTTCTTGGTGCCACCTTGGCCCAAGCTAGGCCAACCTATCTCTTATTGGTCTCCTTTTTACTAGTAGCTGAGACACTCTATTTGGTATTTATCACTCCTGGCTGGTGTGACGGGTATACAGTGCCACACAAAGGCACCAAGCAGATGTTTATGAGGATCTTGGCTCTGCTGACGTGGATGTCAGTTATTGTTGTGTGTATTTGTAATTACAAGATTTTATTCCTATTTAATGTTACTGATTATGGATTTTTTTAAATCAGTGTTTTTCCATGTGACCCTCTTACCTTACATCCCTATTACTTGTCCCTCATCTCCTATCCCCCGTTAAGAAAGGAACCAGCATTTGTTAAAGCTATGGACACCAACAGGGAAGTTTGTTGTCATGGCTCTAGAAGGCCAGTAACCATTATTGTGGTTGTGTTTTGTATTGCTTGATACCATGAAAGTGTAAATACATAATGCTTAACCTGTTTATCAAACTGACTGCTGGACCAGAGCCCAGAAACCATGAGTTAATTATATGTTGATTTGTTTTCTGAAGAAGGGAAGCCAGGGCAGGTGACAAAACAGTTGCCATATTGAATGGTTCGGCATCCTGGTAAATTAATCACTGCAGTTAAGTTGCCATTCACATCTGGCAGTTAAGGCTTAAGGAAACTTTCTGTGGGTTGTCATGTTGAATGTCCGCTGGATTTTTATTTTCCAGAGGGGAAGACTAGATTCCCTGACCAAATGCTACCTTTCTTGTTGAAGAGGTAAGAAAAGCAGCTAGCAGTCCCCCTCTGTTAAATTCTTATTAGTAACATTAAATTATTTCTGACAAAAATGACTTACTGAATTTGGTTTGAAATTTTCAAAGGAAAAGCCTGAGTGACCTTGTTTCATGAGATAGTGCTTCTTAAGTGTTTATTTACCTGATTGTTTACAGGCAGTGGGCACATGGTTCTTGGCAGCCTTGAATCCACATGGTGAATTTCTGGCCCCCACAACTGGCCGCCTTGACTCCTGTAAAGTTTGGGGCTTTAAGACCTATTCTGGCAAGAACACTCCAGAGCTACTGCAATGTTTTGCCAAAACCTTATTGCAAATTAAGTAAAGAAAGACTCTAAATTTAAGTTTGTATGGGGTTTTTTTTTGGGGGGAGCATATTTAGAAGCACACTGGTTAATGATTTCCATCCTGTTGACTTGGTAAGCCCTGAAGACTGACAGCCCTAGTTGTCACCTTAATTGCCTAGTTTATTCTGTTTGTATTTTGCTTAGCATCTCCAATTTCTCTCCTCTGAACAGTGGGGAAAACAGTTAAATAGCCCAGAGATTTGCAGTATTCTTGCTCTCTAGATGAGCAGAATGACCAAATACCCAAATGAAAGCCTCGGAACCATTGGTAATTCAGGAACAAGTTCCCTTCAGTTTAACTTGACCCAGGCATCTTCCCTCCCAATGGGTAACACTCAGGACGTGTGCAAGTCCTCAAAATGTGCAAAGATGCCCTGTGCCCACACCTCCTATTGGAAAAGGAGGCTTTTCCCCCTTCTCGTTCCATTGGGGCCAACTTCGATTCTCTGTCCATGGTGGGAGAAGGGGACAGGAGGTTAGGAAGTGTCCTCTTGCTTGCAGATACACTGCAGAATGAGTCTGTAGTTGAAAAAAAAACTATATTCATTTGCTTCTTGTGTTTGAGCACATGCCTGAAAAGGAGGTTTTGGGGGAAACTGTGCCTGTGCACCTGCCATGTGCATTATTGGGGTCACCTACACCCCACGCTTTGGCTAGTTAAACGTTTTAGGATGTTTTGAATGTGAATGTCCTTGGACAGAGCATTCATTCTCCAATTCCCACTTAAACACCTCCCCCGCCCTCCGTTTTCACATTTATATTGGTGATAATGATGTGAAAAGTAGAAACTTAGAAATAGGACAAAAGACGCTACAGTATCACTGGTGGGGGGCAAGGGAGAACCCACACTGGTTTTGATAAAATATCTAACGTGGATCATAGAAAAATGGAAAATGCCTCCAGTCTTTGTAGGCAATTTTCGTTCTCACTCTCACTAGCGAATTTCACATAGATATACAGAATCTTTCTTAAGAGGGCTTCAGTGTTAGATTGTAGTAAGTTTCTTGTGATTGATCAAGGCAAGGGAATGGTATTTCCATGGGTCCTGATGGTTTCCTGTTTTCATGGTAACAGATTCATACACAGAATTTGCTTCATACTGTAGAATACTGACTTTCATGATGATAACCTGGTTTATGCATGAATATTACAGTATTTCCATATAGTAAAATAATATTTCTACCCAGGATAATAGTCACAGTTTTCCAGGGAGGGAATGATAATTTTCATGACAATGTCATGTGATGATAGAATTTCTCCATTGATGAATCTCTAGTATGTGTTTATACTTTATTTACCCACACATATATTTTATGACCATGAGCTAAGTTGTTATTTCTTTAATTCATGTCCCTGCTGAAATATTAGCAAGCAACTTAGACTTGAAGTTGACAACTATAATCTTCCATAATAATCAGTGCCACAAGAGTGTTCAGGCCAGATAGGAGATGAATAAGGAACTGTGGCAGAAACCTCATCCCAGAAGCTGTCTGGTGCACAGAGAGGCAGCATCCTGCATACTCACCCCCACAGCTTGGGGTGGACACACAGCTGCAGGGAGCATGCCTGGCATGGCTGTTGCTGCCTCCTGGTTTGCTCACCTGGCTGTGCCCCCTGAATGCCCTGGCAGCCTGAGCTCTCACAGGGCCCACTTCAGGGAGCCACCCCTTGGTCTTAGGGAAACACTTGGGCCCTCACATGTTACTTGTATTGTGCTCTGTCCCCTTACGATTTTGGCCCAGAGAATAGGACCTCCTCTACCCTCCATTCCTCCTGCAGTCACAAGTGGAGTAGTGCAAGACGGTTGCCCATTTTTTGCCAGCATTCAGCTTCTGCCCTTGGACCCTTGAAGCATGTTAACGCTGAAGATCCCTTTTCAGCAACCTCTCACACATTCCTATCCTTTTAGGCTATTCTTGACCTCCTTGTCCTCACCCTACACTGGTGACATCCAGACTCCTTAGAATTGCTCTGTGTGTTTCCTGGCACTTAGGACACCCTCCCCAGTGGTGCCATCTTACTGACAGTCAAGTTAAAACCCTTTTTGTTCATTCATAGCAACCTTTGTCATGTTAGTCAATTTCTGACTGTTCTTAAAACAGTAGGGATGCCTATATTTTCCTTAAGTTTTTGTGACTGACTTTGGCTATATACCTTTCTGGGATTTTGTTTGGTTTTTATTTTTATTTTGCATATTGAGGGTATTTGGGGTGGGGTTGTTTTCTATGTCTAATTCTTTTATGGCGTTTTTAAAAAGAATTTTCATATTGTTTTTCTAACATACCTTCATTAAACGTTTAAGTATTTTAATATGTAATATTTGGACCAGATGTTGTGAATAATAGTAGAGATAAAGCTATTTTATTCTGTATTTTTAAAACTGTTCCGTACAAATAAAAGCTCTGCTGGACGCAATTCTGCTGTTCATGTAATTTGGCTGGTCTTTAAGAAACTTGTCGTTAATTAAAAGTCATCACCTAGGGGAGGGAAATCAACTAATAAAAATCTCAGTTCAACAGGTTCAGATACATTAAAAACTCAAAAGGAGGATAGCAGTTGCTGAAGTATCATTGGCCCCTATGGCTAGAGAACATTTTTCTCCTTGGGAGAATGCCTTACGGGGAAAGGAGACCTTGGTTGGAGGATGCACTCATGCTGGGCTTTGGGGTGAAATTATAAGTCTCTTAGTAAATTAGTGACATCTGGAAGGTGGAGACCTTTTAGGCATTGGTGACCAGAAGACTGTCATGTCCACACAGTAGAATCTAGGGTTCCCAGAGCAATCTGGGCCCCTTTAGGGTTGAGGCTAGTACAGGAAATGCTGAGGTGTGGGTGCCAGAAAAAGCTCAAAGCCACGCTTGAGAGCAGCCATTCAGTCAGAGGCATGGTTCCCAGAGGAATATGAAGACAAATCCAAAGGTGCTTGTTGGGCGTATTTCTTAATTTAGAGCAGACTTAGAACTCCTCCATCTCCATCTTTTCTCCAACTGCCTTCAGTCTTTCCCAGCATCAAGGTCTTTTCCAATGAGTCGACTTTTTCAGTGAGGCAAAAGGGGAAGAGTGTGGCAGAGGAAGAGATGGTTAGATGGCATCACTGATTCAATGGACATGAACTTGGGCAAACTCCAGGAGATGATGAAAGACAGGGAGGCCTGATGTCCTGTAGTCCATGGGGTCGCAGAGTCAGACACAACTTAGTGACCGAACAACAACAGTAAATCTACATCTGTATCCCTCGTTTGTCTCTGGCAGTTTGAGCCATAGTGAACACCACAGCTACTTCCATAGGAATTCAACCTGCTGCTTCCAGTTCCCAATATCCTGACCTATGAGTCACTGCTAAGCATCCAGTTACAAGATGAACTGTTTCACCTTACACCACTATATACGTGAGGAAAATGCATGTGAGGTATTTCATACCCATGTTCTCACCCCCACTTAGGACAAAACAACAGCATATTCCAGTGGTAAAGCCCCACTCCCCACCCCATGGACCTCTCACCTGGTACACCCCCATTCCTCCCCAAGAGAGACCCACTACCTGGATTTGGGGTTTAGCCTTTCCTTTTCTTCACAATCTTACATATATATGCATTCCTATACCACTTACTGTTTAGCTCGGACATTTAAAAGGTGTATGTGCTGTCATATTTTACTATTGTGAGATTATTTCATGTTGGTACATAAACTTCCAGAGAGAATGAGCAAAAACGAAGCCCTTTAGAGCTAGGGTCATCCCATGAATGCCAGATTTTCCATCAGTCCTGTTAGAGGAGTTACATTTTTCAGTTCAGTCACTCAGTTGTGTCCAACTCTGCGACCCCATGGATTGCAGCACTCCAGGCTTCCCTGCCCATCACCAACTCCTGGAGCTTGCTCAGACTCCTGTCCATCAGGTCAGTGATGCCATCCAACCATCTCATTCTCTTTCATCCCCTTCTCCTCCTGTCTTCAATCTTTTCCAGCATCAGGGTCTTTACCAATGAGTCAATTCTTCACATTAGGTGGCTAAAGTATTGGAGTTTGAGCTTCAACATCAGTCCACTATTCCAAATTCCAATATTCCAAAGAATATTCAGGACTGATTTCCTTTGGGGTTAACTGGTTTTATCTCCTTGGAGTCCAGGGGACTCTCAAGAGTCTTCACCAACACCATAGTTCAAAATCATTTTATTATTCGGCACTCAGCTTTCTTTATAGTTCAACTCTCACATCCATACATGATTCCTAGAAAAATCATAGCTTTGACTAGATGGAGCTTGTCAGCAAAGTAATGTCTCTAGTTTTTAATATGCTGTCTAGCTTGTTCATAGCTTTTCTTCCAAGGAGCAAGTGTCTTTTAATTTCATGACTTCAGTCACCATCTGCAGTGATTTTGGAGCCCCAAAATATAAAGTCCTAACTATTTTCCATTGTTTCCCCATCTGTTTGCCATGAAGTGATAGGACTGGATGTCATGATCATAGTTTCTTGAATGTTGTTTTAAGCCTACTTTTTCACTCTCCTCTTTCACTTTCATCAAGAGGCTCTTTAGTTCTTCTCTTTCTGCCATCAGGGTGATGTCATCTGTGTATCTGAGGTTATTGATATTTCTCCTGGCAATCTTGGTTCCAGCTTGTGCTTCATCCAGCCTGGCATTTCACATGATGTACTCTGCATATAAGTTAAATAAGCAGGGTGACAATATACAGCCTTGACGTACTCCTTTCCCAATTTGGAACCAGTCTGTAGTTCCATGTCTGATTCTAACTATTGCTTCTTGACCTACAAATTTCTCAGGGCAGGTAAGGTGGTCTGATACTCCCATCTCTTTAAGAACGTTCCACAGTTTGTTGTGATCCACACAAAGGCTTTGGCATAGTCAGTAAAGTAGAAGTATGTTTTTCCGGAACTCTTGCTTTTTCGATGATCCAATGGATGTTGGCAATGTGATCTTGCATTTTTAAGGACTGGAAGATAAAAAACACTGAACTTGGAATTTTATTTCTAGCCACTCAAAAGCCCCCATTTAAATACTTTGGGTGAAGTACTTAAATACAAGAGATAAAAAATCTAGGAAATACTGTAGAAGATAAATGAAGGAAAGGTAAGCCGTAAGGATCTGGGTCAACTTGGTGTCTTGGTTCATTATGACTATGAGAAAACCATAGAGTGGGTGACTCAGAAACAAAAACATTTCTTACAGTTTTGGAGGCTAGAAATCATGGCATGGCAGACTCAGTATCTGGTGAGGTATCTTCTGCTTCCTGGTTCAGAAATAGCGATCTTCTTACTGTGTCTTTACATGGTGGAAAGGGCAAAAGATCGAGCTCTTATGAGGGCACAGCTCCCATTCATGAGGGCTTCAGCCTCATGACCTAGGATCATTTCAGTTGCTCAGTCATGTCCGACTCTTGCAACCCCATGCAGCGTGCCAGGCTTCCCTGTCCATCACCGACTCCCAGAGCTTACTCAAACTCACATCCATAGAGTCGGTGATGCCATCCAACCATCATTCTCTATCATCCCCTTCTTTTCCTGACCTAACTACCCCTCAAAAGCCCCACCTCTTAGTACCAGCACACTGGGGTTTGGGTTTCAATATATGAATTTGGGTGGACGCAGTATAGCACTTGGTTGTTAAAATGTAGTGAAGACCAAAAAAAAATGTAATGAGGGCCAAAGGAAAGAAAAGAATACCAATAATATGCTCAAATGATAATTTCAGGCCATATCAACTTGGTGATAGAAGAAGAGAGACTTACAGAGATGAGAGAAACAAGCCCAATGTACCAATAACAATAAATGGACTAAACTTGCCAGTTAAAAAGTAGATTGTTAGACCAGGTTGCAGAATAAAATCCTGATCATATACTGTTTGCAACACTGAGTTCATAAGTGTTTGGCTGTGATTGTTGAAGGTTGCAACAACTTATGTCCAGAAGTTGATAAAGCTATTTGACAGTCATTTTTATATCTGCTCTGTAGTTTGCATGTCTTTAATTCTAGAAATTGATTTTTTGGTATATTTTACGAAAGTCTTAACCTATAATGGATTGGGAAAAAAAAAAAACACCATCCTTCATCACAGATGTGTCTAGAAGTACTATTTACAGACTGGTTTACACTGAAACTCCAATACTTTGGCCACCTCATGCAAAGAGTTGACTTGTTGGAAAAGACCCTGATGCTGGGAGAGATTGGGGGCAGGAGGAGAAGGGGACGACAGAGGATGAGATGGCTGGATGGCATCACCGACTCGATGGGCAGGAGTTTGAGTAAACTCCGGGAGTTTGTGATGGACAGGGAGGCCTGGCGTGCTGCGATTCATGGGGTCGCAAAGAGTCGGACACGACTGAGCGACTGAACTGAACTTACATAAGAGTGTACAAAATTCAAAGTAAAAACATGGGTGAAAGAATCTTATGGGGCAAATACTAACCATCTATTATATTATTTGCAGACAAAATAAATCCTAGACAAAAGTTGCTAAGGATAGGGAGGTTCTGGGAGTTCCTTGGTGGTCCAGTGTTAGTACTAGAGCTTTCACAGCGATGGGCCTGGGTTCAAACCCTGGTTGGGGAAATAAGACCCCACAAGCTTTGTGGTGACACCAAATAAAAGGATGGGAAAGTTCAATTGATAAAGAGGAGTATTTTAAACATATGCACCTAATCAGATAACCTCAAAATTTATGCAGTATAAATGGATGGAACTAGAGGAAGAAATTGATAGGTCCACCAGCCAGTGGGAGAGTCTAGTACTTCCCTTTTGATATGTCAGGCAGACAAAAACTAAGCAAGGTTAAGTGACCAAAGAGCATGTTTAGAATCAGAGAGTAGCCATTCCTCACAAGCACTCAGAGATGTTT